GGCAGGGTGCGCATCCTTTGACGTATTCCGAGATCGAGTGTGTCATTCCGGGCCACCAGTATCCTCGTTGGACGAGAACTTTGGTGCCGTCGATTCCAGGGTGTCCCGCTGCGGGAGATCGTGGTGCAACCGAATGATGCGTCTTCGTAGATTTCATCCGGAGGAACATATACTTTGCTCCGGTACCAGACAGTGTCCATCGTTGCCCAGTCTCGAGTGAGTGCGTGCGGGCAGGTGGTCCCTTTCCGAGGAGCGCATCAGTGCCTCCCGAATCATGGGGTCTACGTCGTGGGCGCGGTGATTGGTCCTTCAGTGTGATATTGACGGCTCGAGCGAAGACAGAGGATGGTAGCATGATGAGCTCGTCATTATCTTCGATCCGTCGTCGTGGTCGTGTCTTCGTGAAAGTGCGTCAGCAACAGTCATCTGAGATCTAGGGATGTGTTGTAATTCATAGTCGTATTCGGAAAGTTGAAGAGCTATCGTGCTGTCGTCGATTGAGTTTTTGGGCTTCTTCCAGTACGTGAGGTTGCGATGGTCTGATCGAATGGCCAACGTGTGCGGGGAACCAAGCAAGTATTGCTGCCATGCCTCAAGGCCGCGTATGATCGCTAGCAGTTCGCGGTCATAGATTTCGTAGTTTCGTTGGCGGGGTTCAAGGACTGCGAAAAGAAACTGCATGGGTGCAGTTCATCATTGGCGTCCTTTTGCAACAGTGCACCGCCGACCGCAAACTTGAGGATCGCATTCGAGAATGAACGGTTTGGCTTCGTCGGGCATGATGAGACCGGAGCTTTGGTAAACTCATCTTTCAGGTCCTCGAATGCTGTCTGTTGTTCCGCGTTCCAGTGCCAGGTATGTTCTTCTTAGTGAGATCGACGAGTGGACGTACTCGATCCGAGAAGTGGTGGATAAACTTTCTGTAGAAGTTGGCAAATCCGACGAAGGATCGTACATGTTTGACACATGTCGGGACGGGCCAGTGCGTGATGCCGTTAACTTTGATCGGGTCCATGCCTATGTGTCCGGGTCGGATGATCATGCCTAGAATTCCACTTCTTCTACGTTGAAGAAACATTTCTCGGTTTGAGATATAGGTCGTGTTCCTTCAGGCATGCAATGACTCGTCGTGTTCGTTCATGGTGATCGTCGAGGTTGGCCGATAGATGAGGATGTCGTCCATATAAATCACCATCCAACCTTCTTCAAGCATGTCGGCGAAGATGACGTTCATCATTCGCTGGAAGGTGGACGGCGAGTTGCATAGACCAAAAACATGACCGTAGGTTCGAAGAGTCGAGGGGACCGCCTCTGTACTGGGTACTGCGAACGCAGCTTTCCATTGTCTCCCTCTTTTACACGGACGTTGTTGTAGCCAGCGCGAAGATCCATCTTGGTAAAGATCTTTGCGTGCTTAATTTGTCCATGAGATCTGAGATGAGGGGGAGAGGATAGCGATCCTTGACCGTGTTTTCGTTCACTTCCGGTAGTCCTGACAGGGTCTCCAAGTGCCATCCTTCTTTGCGACGAAGAAGAACGGGCTTGCCATCGGAGATTTAGACGGTCGGATATACCCTTTAGACTCGTTTTCCTTGATGAACTTATCAAGTTCTATCCGTTGCGCTGGATTCAGGGGTAGATCTGTGTCTTAAGCTCCGTGAAATCCGGTTTCAGATTGATCTCATGGTCATATTCCGTATGTCAGGGAGTCGAGCTGCCGTGCCTTTGTCAAAGACCGATAGGAATTCGTGAAGGTATTCGGGTACCATTTCTTCAGTTCCTTCGGTTTATCGTCCTTGTGACTGGCGGCGGCTAGCTCAGTAGCGGTAGTTACGTGACCAATAGAAAACGGGCTGGGATGATCCTTCCAGTCGTGGTACGGATGAAGCGATTGACGGAGTGCGGGGAGGATGTGCTCGTGTTCGGGACGTGTTCCTGGGTGAGGGGAACTTCCTGTGACGTCGTCATGTATACCATAGGTTCTCCTTTGACGTAGGACATCAGCATTCGTCATTGCTACGTCCATCATCATGGTTCGAAGTTCAACTTCTGGGTCGAAGTCCTCTTCTATAGTCTGGGAATAGTGTCAGGAATGATTTCGTGTTCGAATTCTGGATCGGGAATTTCTTCTATCGTGGCGTGCAGGGGTTCTGGTTTGATGTACGGATAGCGGGCTCAGCTTGTGTAGCTGGGCTTGCGTCGGTGGGTCAGGGAATCGGAAGATGCTTTCTTCCAGTCGATACGTGGGTTCTCCCTCTTCAACCAGTTGTAACCAAGGATTAAGTCCTGCTTGCCGATGCTGGCGACATATGCGGTGGTTACGCGCATGGTGTCGTTCCATCGGTAGCGTAGGAAGACTTTTTCTTCAATGGTTTTGACTTGGTTAGGGGTCCCGTCTACGTTGAAGACGGGGATCGGTCGTCGGAGTCGTCTGGTTCCTAGTCGTAGTCGGATGACTAGGCAGGGGTGTATGAATACTGCCATGGCTCCACTGTCCACAAGAGCATTCACTTCGGTGTCGGCGTCTTTTCCTCTCATGAATACGGGTAGGTGCAAAGATTCTGATTCTTCTATGCCGTATTGTACATGTGAGACGGTAAAGTTCGTGGGTTCGCACTGCGCTGAGTCGTGGAACCCTCCTAAAAATCCGCTCCGAGCTGTTCGAAGACGGACTGCTTCTCCTCGGCCTTTAGTTCTGCGAAGAGCTCGCGGATCGTCTTTGATCGCGGGGCCGGGGAAGGTGCGGTGTATTGTGCGGGACGATAAGCGGCCGGCTGCGGTACCTTCCCATTGCGGTGGTCGATGGAGCGGTGACCCTTCTGGTGGCACATGAAGCAGAGGCCTTCCTTCATGTGTCGGTCTCGGTCTGCCTGGGACATGCGGTTGGACGTGGTAGCGTCGATGTCCATGGGCTCGTCGAGTCGGCCATTCGTCCTGGGTACCTGTCCACCATGGGGTCGGTCGACGTACTCGCCATAGGAGGCGTGTTTCTGGGCGATGTCGTACCAATCCGACATCTTCTCCATCGTCCTGTCGGTTCCGAGCATCTTTCGAAGTAGCTCGGGTCGGACCGCGCGGCGGAAACGGTTGGAGAGTAGGTTGTAGTCGTTTGCAACCCTGGTAGCTCCTGTTCCGGTAGCATCCCGGAACTTGGCTCGTGCCGCGGCCGTTTGAACTTGTGCACGAACTCGTGCGTCGACATCTTTCCTTGGGTGAGATTGTCGAAGTCGGTGATGGCTTTGTCGAGATGCTCATAGACGGGGAATGACGACGTGAGAGCAGCTACGAAGTCCTTCCAGGTTGGGTACATGACCTGGTTGTTCGTGCGCTTCTCATTCTGTTCCTCGTAGAACAGAGTACGCCATCCTTTGGCCTTTCCGTCGAGTTTGGAGACCGCGTAAGCGATCTTTCGCTGATCATCGTGTTCGTGTTTTTGTGGCTGCGAAGTAGTTCTCGACGTCGTTGAGGAAGCGAGTTAAGTCCAGAGGATCGCCTTTGAAGGCTTCCGGACTAGCGACCTCAAGCTTTTCTCCTCGCTCTACACTTCGGGCCTTCAGCTCCAGAAGCTCCTGCTTCAGAGCCTGGAATTCTGCAGAAGAGACGGACATCGGTGGTTGGGTGATAGGGACGGTAGGGAAAGGTATTGGGTTGGTTCTGGTTTCTTCGTCAACAGGAGTCAACGATAGAGGTTCGATGGTGCGGGGTTCGTTCTGGACGCTTTTCAAGCGTGCGGGTAGAAGTCGATGGTTCAAGTTCGAGGGACGGGGTTCGGGAGAGGGATCGTTTCAACCCAGCGATATGGGCTTTCGCTTTCGCGAATCGTGGTTGTTTTAAAAAGAACTGGGTAGTTCTCTTTTCGTCGTCAACGTTGTAACGAAAGTTCGTCCAAACGTATGTCTGGTGTTTGTTCGAGAATTCGGCGTGGACGGGTTCGGTGCGTCCTTTGAGGTGATATCAAATCGGAGGAGTTCGTCGTCCCAGAAAAGGGTTTCTTCTGTGCCTAGGCCTGGTAGGTTGAGTCGGCCAGGGTCGAGGATCGGATGGCGCGTGATGTTGGTTTTGGCGGACTCGAGGATTCGAGCCCGTTCGGGAGGTTGGGTTCTCTACACCTGAGAAGGTGGAGATGGAAGAAGAGTTCGACCTTATGTTACGCGAAGCTAGGCGAGTGGAACACTACAAGCCACAAGCTTGCAAGGTTACTAACTTAAAGGAAGAGTTCTGTATCTTAGACCTAGGAAGGACGCAAGTCCCTTCGTCCTAGTCGAGTTCCGAAGCGGCAGCGGTATGAGAAAGCTAGCGTGATTGCTAACCAGGTCGAACTGAAGAGTCCGACCTCTACTGTACAGGTATATATACAAACGAATGAGTCTGAGTCAAGGCGTACAGTAAGCATGAGTCACGATATGTCATCGCTGACGAAGGAATCGGTAATCATGACGAAGAAATGAGTCAGCAGGGTTCAGCTATCACATGACAGTCCAGGTGCGGTATAGTACATAACCGGTCCTCATGCATGTGAGGTGGTTAGAGATAACAAGTAAAAGGAAATGAAAATGTACGTAACATGGCGACTTGTAACAGTAGCACCATCACGTGTCGCGCTTGCCAGTCCCCTTGCTATCCTTACGACTCATCGCCATGTACGTATCCGTTTCTGCTCTTCCCTACCCCGCATCGTCGTGGTTGACATGACAAGCTTCTTGCCCTGCAGGCAAGTGTTCGTCACAGCCTGTAGACGGGAGCTTGTGGTGTCTCCGCTTCGCTCTGCCCTTGGTCTCGACACCTCATTTCCGCCATGAATAAGAAGAGGAAGACCGGGCTGTCGAAGGCGATCAAAGTCACCTATGGCTCTCCCTTCGGGAGAACTGAAACCACGACTCAGCTCCGCTTAGGCAGCTCTGGCGTACGCCGCGAGCAAAGGGAAAGGGAACAGCGGGAGACAGTTGTCGGTACGTCTTTGCTGTGTATACCCTTCTGAGTGCTCATTTCAACAATCAGGCATGTGTCTTGATGATCGGGAGGTGTACAGACACCCCGTCACAGAGTCAAACGAGGAGCCTTCTGTGGAGGAGGATTGGGTGGATATCATACCCCCGGGCGAGGAAGGCACGGTATTGAGTGGTGAGGATGAGCTCTGCAGAACGATCTTCCTTGAAGATGGGGTGAAAAGGTGCGTCAGACTCCTGTCGAATCTCGACAACGTGTCAACATTCTTCGTGAAGGAAACGTAGGGACATTCGGTCGCGGAAGAATTGGGTCGCCATTCGCGAGAAGGAGTGGAGGGAGCAGCAAGATGACCTGGTTGAAGGGTATCTTGCTTGGAGAGCAGGTGACGTGGTGGATGCACAACCTGAGCATCGTGCATGGCCACTTTGGGCTATTGATTTCTTTGGTATGTTCCTCGTGTTCTGTGTTGGTTTCTTGCCATGATATCAGATACA